CTCCCGCTTTTTCGTAGTATTCCCGTCTGCCTCTGTGCCCGCTCTCTTCGTACTTCGCAATGGAAACTTTTCTGTATAAATAACTTTAGAAGCTCACCTCAAATAAAGTGATGTGATGCCATGGCCATGATAATGAAAAAGTTCAAGGAAATTGGGAAAATAATTCGAATGGAGATAGCAAACAGTATCAACAAAATACAATTAGTTCTCGCTAACCACACAGTGTACATATAGTATGTTTATACTATGCTCGCAAGAGGGAGTTTCTGATATTGATATAATGAGGGGATCTATATATTTATTCCGGCCTGGGAATGGCTGATAAGAGGCTTACCAATTAACTGGCAAATCATATCGATTAACTTGCTCACAGCGCAAGATTATTATTCGTCCGTTAATCATGGGGAAATTTATATTAGCTTGCATTTCCCCCTACGAGTATTGCGCGCTGCATGGTGCATGCTTTGATCGATAACTGATAATCTCATCTGCTGCTGTTGTTGTTTCAGAATCTGCAAAAGTCAAAGGTATCCATAGCGGAAATGCTCTTTGGCCTGCCCTTGCAGGACACGGGCTTCAAGCGCTACCCGCTGCGGGCACGCGCCAGGATAATTCAGTATGCCCTGACGCTGGTGCTGAAGCACAACGATGTGGATTACCTGGAGACGCTGAAGGAGAAGCTGCTGCGCTACTATCCGGCACTGCCGGTGGCCGCTGCCGGGGAAGAGCCGTCGACCATAACGTACATCTTCTACCCGGGAGAGTACAGGATGTGGGAGCTGGTGCCCTACACAGTGGCCTTCGTGCTGGTGTTCGCCTACGTGTACTTCTCCGTGCGGAAGATCGACGTGTTTCGGTCGCGATTCCTGCTGGCCCTGTGCAGTGTCATCACCACCGCCGGCAGCCTGGCCATGTCCTTGGGCCTGTGCTTCTTCTTTGGCCTGACCATTTCGCTGCAGTCGAAGGACATATTCCCCTACTTGGTCATTCTGGTGGGCCTGGAGAACAGCCTGGTCATCACGAAGAGTGTGGTGTCCATGGACGAGACGTTCGACGTGAAGATTCGCGTCGCCCAGGCACTGAGCAAGGAGGGCTGGCACATCTCCAAGACGCTGCTGACAGAGATCACCATTCTGACCATTGGCTTGGCCACCTTTGTGCCCGTCATCCAGGAGTTCTGCATCTTTGCTATCGTCGGACTGCTCTCGGACTTCATGCTGCAGATGCTGCTCTTCTCCACCATCTTGGCCATGAACATCAAGCGGGCCGAATACACCACGGAGGCCAAGCACCTGCCCAAAATGATGCTCAGCTGCACTCAGGGAGCGGGACGGCAGGATTTCCGTTTCTTTGGGGCCGCCCCGACCCTGGCGCCATTTGTGCCCGGCTCCTTTCAGCGTTCGCAGTCCCATCCGAAGCTTTGCTTTGCCGACGCCGCCGCTGCCGGAGAGCGGGTAGGCCTGGTCAATGGCCACGGTCACTCTACCCAGGAGCAGCGCATCCCCAAGCGCATCAAGATCGTCAACTTCTGGGCGCGCACGCGTTTCTTCCAGCGCGCCTTCATGGTCTGGATGATCGTGTGGATCTGCTCCATCGTGTACAACTCGGGTTGTCTGGAGCAGCTCTTCACCATGCAGAGTAACGGGACCATGACTGGCACTCTGGAGCTGCAGCGCCGCCTCCAGGCGGGTCGCGGAGCAGTCAGCAGCTTCTTCGAAGGACTGAAAGCGGACGGGCATCGAACCGCAACCAGCCCCCCCAGCAGCAACGGGCTTAGCACTCCAATGGAGGCGCGTCCTGAGAACGAGATCAACGAAACGGCCGAGGATCTGCTGCGTCTGCGGTATCCCAACTTTGACCAGAACTATTTTCTGTCGAATTTCCACTGGTCCACGATCATGAAGCAGTACAACATCTCGCTGAGCGGCCACTACGTGACGCTGCTGCCTACTATCAGGCTGAGCCATGCCATAGCGCCGGAGCAGGCCACTCTTCTGCGCAATCCCCAGGAGCAGCTGCAGCAGAATTTCCAGTGGAAGGCTCTGGCTGCTGCACTCGATCCGCTGGACTTCAACGATGACGATGTTCGCCGAGAGTCCCCGATGGTGATGGCCGGTGGAATGCCGCTCGTACCCAAAAGCCCCATGGAGATATTCTTCGCCATCCTGCTGTGCTGCATCAGCATCTTCGTGCTCTGCTACACGATGGTCGTATTCTATCGATGCATCTGCACCAGAAACTACGCCGAGTGGCGTTCCAGCTGGAACGAGTCCGAGGCTCCCCACAAGAAAACCGAACAAATACTCGAGGGCGTTCCCACCCAGATCGCCGGCCACAAGCACCGCATCGAGTGCCTGGTCTCCGACGGAGCCTACATCATAAGCTGCTGCCTCAAAGGACAGATCCGCGTGTGGGACGCGCGCAGCGGCGAGCAGCTGGCGAGTATCGGGCGATCGGAGATGCAGATCTCTCAGCCCCGACAGGACGGACAAACACTAGTGCGGAAGCTGCCCATCTCGCCTGTGTGGTGTCTGGACTACTTTGATAATCTCATTGCCGTCGGCTGTGCCAATGGCCGTGTGGAGCTGTGGGAGTCCCCGGCAGGCGTGCTCAAGTGCGCCTACCAAGAGGATGCCAAGCGCAACCAGGGCATCACACACATCCATTTGAACGGGGATCGTGTGATTGTAGCGCGCCTTAATGGACGCCTCGATTTCTACCGTCTGGAGACATACTACAAGGGCAAGCAGATCGACTGGGGGTTCACATCCGCATACAGACGCAGTAAGTATGCCGCAAGTGCAGGCCATAACTGAAGCTGTATTTAACTACTCTTGCTTTCGCTTCGTTCAGCACACGTGCGGACTGGTTCGACTGGCAGCCTGGGTCTGATGATGCAGCCTCAGCAACGCTGCCAGGACGCAGTGCAGAAAACCACCAAGGAGGAGATGAAGATCACGCTGGAGGGAGTGCGACTCGCCCATCAGCAACCCATTACTTGCATGCAGGTGGTCAACGACATGGTCTTCACCGGTAGCCAGGATCACACCTTAAAGGTAGGTCTCATTTCCTCATACTGGCACACCATAAAAATGCGCTCTCCTCTCTCCAGGTATATTGTCTCAACAAATCGGATGCGGAGTACACATTGCATGGACACTGTGGACCCATAACCTGCCTGTTTGTTGATCGCTGGCAGCCGGGCACTGGCGGTTCAGGATCGCAGGACGGCCTCCTCTGTGTCTGGGATCTTTTTACGGGCGCCTGCATGTATAACATCCAAGCCCATGACGGTGCGGTCAGTTGTCTGGCCTGTGCACCCAGCTACGTGATCTCGCTGGGCACAGACGAGCGGATCTGTGTGTGGGAGCGATTCCAGGGCAACCTGCTGACTACCATCAACATCTCCAATGCATATTCGAGTCTGCTGATGCTCACGCCGTCGCTGCTTGTCACCAGCAAAATGGGTAGGTGTCTTCGTCAGATTTCTAATGGAAATGTCTAGCAAATAAATAACGTGTTAATTCTGGCAGGATCTCTGATCGTCTGGGATGTACGCACCGGCCAGCCGGCTCGCGAGGTCAAGCTGGACTTTGACAACCTGCAGCTGTGCCCCAAGACCATGATGCTTGCCTGCGACTCTGTGGTCTGCGACTATGGCAACGAAATACGCGTGGTCCGATTCCCCATTGTGGCCGATAAGTGCCACTGAGAGCGCAAAGGGAGAGGAATTCTAGATGAAGCCAGCACCTACATACATAGACCTAGGTTAACTTTCGGATCTGTCTCGCCTTGAACTCCCTAATCTACCTGTGTAGCAGGGACCTTCATTTACGAACTTATTAAAAAACCAGTGGCGTTGTCTTTTAACATTTTAAACTATAGCTTTGACTATAAGTTTCGAGTACGTTTTTAATCATAATACTTGTACACTGATGGATGTCTGCTAACTCCAGAGATAGGCGGTTGCCTGCTGCAACTTCGATAGGCTAAATGCATAACTACCCTGAATTAACAATGATTAAAATATTTAACAATATAATATATATATACATATATTTTTGCATAGCTACATTTACTGTATTTACATAGTGTCTTACAGCGCCTAAGAATAACATTAAATGACGAAATGTTATATATAATACAATATTTATTAGAATCACCTACGCTTAATTTTCTATATGGAAATAAAACATGAACGAAAATAACCGAAATCTGTTCAAATATGTGTTTGTCATAAACGGAAGTTCTAGGGATTTCCGCCGAAAGCCTCATAGAATAATGGATGAAGATTTTCTACTTGTGGAATCTTAAGCCTATGATAAAGCTAAAATCGGAATACCGTACATAAATACATACATATGTATGTATCCATGGAGCATGTATGGCTCCGTGTCGTGTCGCCGCAGCGTCTGTCAAAGTATACCAATATTCTCACGAAAAGCTGTTCTCAGTTTTAAAATTAAAAACATCCGGCAGAGAACGAAATGAACAGAGAGAGTAAGAAAGAGGCGGGAGAGAGATCTCTCAGCCGAGATCGAAAGCTGTCCGATCAGCTGTGTTTGCTCACACATAAAGATTATACATACGCATGCACATGATACATACATATATACGTACGTACAGTTCTTGGAAATCGGTGTTCTTTGTCAATAAAAAGAAGAGAAACCAGGCAACGATGAATAAGAAAAAAAGAACAAAACAATTGAACGAAACAACAACAAAAAACCCACAAATACATGCATGTTTATGTGAATGTGAATGAGATATTACCCATTAAATATCTGCATACCTGTTTTCAATTCCAAATCGCATAGTTAGTTAGTAGCAAAGCTTGGAGCTATTTGGAAGAGAACTTTCATCACATTTTGCTTAAGAGAAGAAACTTCCGCGAGCGTAGCGGGTTGGCTATCGGATTGTAGGAGAGGAGAAGGAGACCCCCACTGATAACACACGCAGTCGCGATAATTGGAGCACTGGCGTAGTCGCGGGGAGGTGGATACAATCAGACCACCCTTACAGTCGATCCCCGCTGCACGTACTCCTCTTTCTCCGCACAGGGAGCGACAGTGGGAGCATTAGTAATCGCGGGTTATCTTCGAGCAGAGTCAATGTGCAAAAAAATTTGTAGCCGTCAGTGTTAAGAGAAGCATTGGCCCCAGCGGACCGGATAGCGCTGCTTTCAACCGCGAGTGAGATATAGATAAGCAGCTTGAGAAAAATGGGTTGGTGGGGCAAGAAGAGGGACGATCCGGAAACGGACCGCTCCAGCGGATCAACTAACAGCCAGGCTCTGGTGCTGCAGGATCCGCGCACGCGTGTGAAGACCACCAGCGCCGCCACAGCGACCACCAACACGGCGGTGCAGAACTCGACGATAACGGACAGAAACAAGCAGACTATCACCTTCATGTCCACCCGTCAGACGGTGACGCATACGCAGAGAGCGCTTATAACGGAAACCACGACGCGGCGCACGCCGAGCCAGGCCGAGCTGGAGCAGCTCTTCGCGCAGATGAGAATGGGAAGCGATGGCGCAACGACGACCACCACCACGACAACTACGCGCGGCCGACCACCTAGTCTGAACGGCGTGGCCCTGCGCTCCACTCCGTCCTTCAAGGCCACTACAAACAACAAGCGCTCCAGCACTGTGCTCAAGACGGAACACACAACGGTGACGAAGAAAAACGGACGCAACGTCACCCAGCACCTGGAGACACAGCGTGTAGATCTCAAGACCAAGGGAAAGCCCTCTTGGCCGGCATCATTTTTTTCATCGACAAGCTCCGGCGGCACATCCGAGCCCTACGTCTCACCCTACGCCCAGAAGCCAAGTCTGGCCATTACATACGTGTCGCCTTATGCCAAGTCCACCACAAGTCCAACCTCAACCTCAAGTACCAGCTCCGTGGCTAGTGCTCCAAGTTTTGGAGCTTTCAAGCCGGCTGCCAAGCCCCTGTTCTCCACAGCTGTGCCCAGACCCTCCACAGGGGCCATACCCAAGACAAGCGTAGGCGCCCGAGACGCTCAGGGGGTCGTGAAGCCAAAGTTGTTCGCTGGAGTTGGCACAACCAAGCCAATCGTGGCCAAGACCAAGCTGAAGCCCGCCCGAGTCTACATCTTCAATAACGAAAAGTTCGACAGCAAGAACGAGTTCCGTTCTGGCAGTGCCCAAGATGTCAAGGTTCTGCGCACCACCTTCGAGCAGTTCAAGTGCAAGGTGGAGGTCATCAAAGACGCCACACTGGCCACCGTCAAGAGTACGGTGAGGATGCGTAAGTGGCAAGAACGTACGATACCAGACCAATGCTGTAATTGTTCGTATTTTCAGTGGAGACAAAAGACTTCGAGGATAAGAGTGCCCTAGTCCTGGTGTTCTTAAGCCATGGAACGCGTCACGACAGGCTTGCTGCCAAGGATCTCGATTACTCGCTGGACGACGTTGTCCTCTTCCCGATATTGCGTAACCGTACGCTGAAGGACAAACCCAAAATGTTGTTTGTCCAGGCCTGCAAGGGCGCCAATGAACCCGGTGGCTTCATGACAGATAGCGCCCAGCCGAACGGATCCCCCAACGAGATTCTCAAGTGCTACAGCACCTACGAGGGCTATGTTTCCTATCGCACTGAGGATGGCACTCCCTTCATCCAGACCCTCTGCGAGGCTCTGAACAGATCGGGCAAGACAACCGATATCGACGGAATAATGATGAGTGTGCGAAGCGTGGTGAAAATGCAAACAAAGTGAGTACAAAATCCCTCTTTCAAACTGTCGAATCTAAACGTAATTCCATTTTCCAGAGACGGCCAAATCCCATCTGTCACCAGCACCCTGACCTCAAAATATGTTTTCGGAGATTACGTCTAACCTGCTAATAGTATTATTATTGAATCGACATAGCCCTATATCCACATAGATTTAATTTATAAACTGTATTGCAAGCGAAAGTGATTATACCCATTGCAGAGGGTAGTAAAATGTATACCCTTAAGTTTCCAATGCAGCGAAGGAGCGAAGATGCTCAAATAGCATCAGCCATGTCATTCCGTTTTAAGGACTCGGTCTGTTCAGCTTGGAAAGATCCGTCGACAAAATCCACACACATTTCTTTTTTAAGATTCGCACCATCAAGTGACCCATGCGAAACCATCCAGCCAATCCCAGGCTGGAACGCAGCCCTAGACAAACTTAAAAACCCTACTGATGCAAGGGTATCAAAATCGTCGGTCCCCGAATACTCTTCTTCAAATGATTATCATAACTTCCAGGGGAATCGCTACTATATATTTTATGATTCATTGAAAATAAAATTTGATTCTACCAATGTAGATTAATAGAAGGAAGGAAGTGTTTTATACTTATCAGATAGCAATGGAATTTGGGAATGTATTATTATTTGGGGTGTATTGTGAGTTGCATGATAAAGGAAAATACTTTTATAGCCGTTTTTCCAAATTGTGTATACTAGTATACAAACAAGGACTGCATAATTTGCTTGATGTTCGCTGTGGCATTCACTTTAATTTTAATTATAAACGACGCGGCACTTGGTACCTTGTCCATACAGACGTACATACATACATACATACACATATGTTATAGGTTATTATAGTCAATATTTGTATCCAGGCTGGCATACATATATATATTCATATTTACAATTATACTGGAATTTCGTTGGGTGGCTCTAGTGGAGTTCTACCTGAAGATCGAAGGGATATTCCCTTGAATTTAGACTCTGTCTAAAAAGTTGCGTGTGCTGCCACGCCACATCGCCCTTTCCGCCCATCAGCTTGGCCACGACCTGAAATTCACTAGAGTTCTCAATGAAAGTCTTTCCATCGTTGGTTTGAACGGACACGTCGATTTTTCCTTCACCAAATGTTTTCGTTTCGAATACTAGTTTGTAGGACTTGACCTTAAGATTGGTCTTGGTGAGATCAAATTTCCAAATGATCTCCGCACAATCTGTGTCCTCCAAGCGCGCCAAATATGCCATTTTCCAATCGCGCTCTACTTTTCGATAAATATTCTTCGAGGAAAATTGAGCACTTTGCCATGTTTTATAGGTATTCAGCAAAGTGATCTGTCCGTCATCTTCGAGAGTATGGAATACATACAAAATTACATTGCAATAGGCATAATTATAAGGAAGAGACCCACCTTTGGTGTAGCGTTCGTATGTGTCTGTGGCACAGCTGTAGCGCAAATTGAGCTGGCATTTCTTCAGCTCAGCTTCGTTGGGAGAAAACACAAAAATCTGCAAATAAATAATGCATTCATTTAGATCGCATGCACATTCGTAAAGTATGTGTAAAGCGGACAAATGCCGGCTACTCACGTTGGTGAATGTGTGCTCGCCACGCGATTGCCGCCACGACAAGCTTCCTGAGCTCCGACCTTTAAGCTCGTTCTCGGTCGGTTTGCTGCGTAATTGGGAGAGCAAAAACAGCGTTGCGTTGATATTTAATTGGAATGTTGCAGTGAACAGGCTAAAATGCTTACCGTTCAAGGGTCAAACCAATGACCTCAAACATGTTTCGCTGACTGAGGAACTTTTTCCGTTCTGCGCTGCAGCTCTGCTGCCGCTTTTCTCGAATGGCGTTGAGCGTCTGAATCAGCTCCTTTTCATCACATAGCTTGCGCAGCTTCAGAATCTCTTGGTGATTGTTCGTATAGCGCCAGGTCACATCCTGAGCATCGTCACGGGAATAGGCAAACACATAGTCAATCCCACGCTTCCAGCCGTGCTGATACATGAGCGGCGAGTCCACTACGTTATCCGAGGGGTCCACGTGTAGCCAGCGCATTTGCGTCTCCGAGAACACCTCAGTCCACACATGATCGAAATGGGAATGCACCAGGCGCGCATCGTAGTCCAGGCAACGGCACAGGAATGTAAAGCAATTGGCGAACTCGCCGCATCGGCCCTTCCGCGACACTAGGAGCTGGGAGATGTCGTTGTAACGATAGAACTTGCTTTCCTGGCCACAGCAGACGTTGACTTCGACTCGGACATCTCCTTCCGTCTGCGTGCGGCGCAGCTTGCTCTCCTCGCTGCCACACACCTGGCACTGGATGTTATTGACCCACTCGAAGAACTGCGTGTTGAACCAATTCGTCAGCTCAACCAGCAAGAGATCGCGAATGCAAGGCTTTTTCTCGCTGCACTCCCCAGAGGCGATAAGGTCCTGCATGGCCATCATCTTTTCGCTCGCCTTGGAGGTAAGGTCGTCAACGGGAATTAAGCTCCGGCCAGTAGCCAACAGAAGCTCGTCCTCATACTGCATGACGGCATCGGAATAGAGCTCCAGCGACTGCAAAAATCGATTGGACGTCCTCTGCAAAAACAAATCAAAATTACCTTCCGACTGTGATCAATCAACGTGCAAATGTGTGCTTACCAGCACTCGCGGAAAGGTTATGCGCTGGCGATAGGGCACCGATGTCTTTATGAACAATGGCGAAGGAGTGCTGCAGGCGGCTTTGGGATGAGCTGGACCTGAGGAGAAGCCACAGAACCATAGTAAATGTACATATCTTGGGTAAATATACAATTTTTACTTTTTGGCATAGCTCCACTAAGCCAAGCAGTGCGGCGCTCCCTCAGAACATCGTAGTACTTCTGAATCTGCTGCAAGGAGACCTCACCGGGCAGAGTATACGAGTTGGAGCTGGGGGTGTGTCTGAAGCCGATGGCATAGAGCAGCTTCTCGCAGCCCGGTAGGGAGAGCAGCTTCTCTTTGATGGCCTTGTTATCCAGCCGTATTGTCCGGAACTTTGTGTTGTTCGGCTGGGAGAGAACGTTCTCCAGCAAAACCAACAAAATGCGCACTGCCTCGAGATAGGCGTTTTTCACATTCTGTTGCTGCTGCTCAGTAGATCGGGTGGTCTTCGGCTCTATAAAGTGCACACACTCCAGGTTAATGTCCACCATGTTGATGCCGCCGTCTGGGATTCGTGTTTTTCTTGCTGTTTGGAATGGGGTGGAGGAATAGTGGGTGGCAGCAGTGTGGCCGCGGAATTATCGTTAAAATATACCGTCCGACCCTCAGAAATATACCGAAACATACCGTCTTACTTTGAAAATATACCGCAAATATTTTGACAAACTCAAGTTATATTTCACATATTCCTAGTTTTTGATATTCCGTGGAATATTACTAGCTATATAGAACATTTAGCCATGTCATCATAATTTTATACGATTAATCAATCAATTTTCTACAAGATTGGATAGTTTTTAATCCTTGCTTTTATTGTATTTATTGTAAAAACAGGTTTGAACGGAAAAGTTCGACAAAAAAAGAGTCACTGTGATGCGTGTAGGCCTTGGAATACCCTATTTTGTTAATTTTATATGTAGATCAAACGCAATTTATTAAGACCTTTTCTCAAATTGATATGTTTTTGACTTATTCATGTGTATTATTAGTATCTTGTATATATTTATATCGATCCTGAGCCTTGGAAGACAAACGTATTCACAATTCTATATCATCCATTTCCCCAGGGTATTTGTGCATGGAATTAGCAACATTTGTGCATGGAGTTAGCAACATTTGTGTATGCAATGTAGATATCATGTCAAATGTTCATACCTATAGCTGGATCCGGTTGACCAGCAACAATGACGTAACATTCCGTAAACACTTACGTTTCATTCCGTAAACACTTATGTTTTTTCTTTCCCCCTTTTGTATAAGCCTTATTTTAGACATAATCGTATAAAATAAAGTACTTAACAATGTCCCTACAATGTCCATACTCACTTACGTTTTCTTACGTCCTATGTTGCTGGCAACATTCACTTTATATGGGCCGAGAAATCAAGCAGCATTGTCCCTCAACATGGATCGGTTTTAGCAACATTCTTCATACCCTGGAGAAACGGATATTATAGAATTGAGAAAATGTTTGTCATCTCAAGGTCCAATATATGAAGAAACTAGTCACTCTCTGTTTTAAAGAGATTTCAACGATATTGTGCCGCTTATTGTCTTCTTAGAGACTAAGAATATGTATCGGAGATACATATATATATAAACAAGACACTAATCAAATGCTTAAATATGTGTTAAGCATATCAATCTGAGAAAAGGGGTTTATTAATTACGTTTTAAAAACAGTTTGGAAAACAGTGTCTTCATATTAAATATATTCATATATAATTTTAACGAAGTAGGGTATACAAATGCCCATACTCCGGTGGACATTCCATACTCACTTACGTTGCCACTGCTTTTTGCTGACCTTTTTTGTTTACACATTTTTTAGACACAATACAATAAAATGGAGTACTTAAAAGTAATCTAATCTTGTAGAAAATTTATTCAGCAATGGTTTAAAAATCTGGGAGCAGAGCTAAGGATTTTAGTTAGTCAATATCAAAATTGAGCATCCCCTACGTTTTATTACTTTTTATTTGTTTGACCTTCTTTGCTAAAACTTTTTTAGACAAGATCCAATAAAAGCAAGTATTTAAAATAAACCAGTCAAGAAGAAAATTGATTGAGTAATCGGATAAAACTATGTGGGCTGGACTAAGGGTGCTATCTAGGCAGTAATATCAAATCGAATATCAAAATCGAGCAATATGGCTTCCAATCTTCGATGGAGAACGATTAACCCATTGTAGACCAAGAAGCTATTTTAATATTCCACCGAAAATAATTAAAATTTAATAGTTTTAGCGCAGTTCAGGTGAAAGATATCGTGTTTTGTTGTAAGTTCAGAGCAAAGATTGGCATGGATCTACAAGTACAGTAATGTATATCGCCATTTACCTCAAGTGCTTCACTTGTTTAAATGGAGGGGGCCTAAGTGGGCTCAAGCTTGCGCAGCGGGAAAGCCGAAAAGCGAAAGAACTAGGCGTCGGTCTACCACTTACAAAACTTTTCTCAGCGAGCTCAGTTTGGCCGCAGCATATCAAGCAATCGTCTCTTCCATTTCCTTAAAAGGTAATAACTGTGCCTGTCTCTTTGTTAAACTGTGCGTGCGCGTTGTGGCCGTCTGAGAGTGGGTATAGACCCGAGCTGTGGTGTTCTTGTTGAGCGTCGATTAAAGTGTACATATTTGGCATTTGCTTTTCCATTGCAGAACTTAATCAATCTACATCATAATGTGTGACGAAGAGGTTGCTGCTTTGGTCGTCGATAACGGTTCCGGCATGTGCAAAGCCGGCTTTGCCGGTGATGACGCACCCCGTGCCGTTTTCCCATCGATTGTCGGCCGTCCACGTCACCAGGGCGTTATGGTGGGCATGGGACAGAAAGACTCCTATGTGGGTGATGAGGCACAGAGCAAGCGTGGTATCCTCACTCTGAAGTACCCGATTGAGCACGGCATTGTGACCAACTGGGACGACATGGAGAAAATCTGGCACCACACCTTCTACAATGAGCTGCGCGTTGCCCCCGAGGAGCACCCTGTCCTGCTCACCGAAGCACCCCTGAACCCCAAGGCTAATCGTGAGAAGATGACTCAGATCATGTTCGAGACCTTCAACACTCCTGCCATGTATGTGGCCATCCAGGCTGTGCTGTCTCTGTACGCCTCTGGCCGTACCACAGGTATTGTGCTCGACTCTGGCGACGGTGTCTCACACACTGTTCCAATCTATGAGGGTTATGCCCTGCCCCATGCCATTCTGCGTCTGGATTTGGCTGGTCGCGACTTGACCGACTACCTGATGAAGATCCTGACTGAGCGCGGCTACTCGTTCACCACTACTGCCGAGCGCGAAATCGTGCGCGACATCAAGGAGAAGCTCTGCTACGTCGCCTTGGACTTTGAGCAGGAGATGGCCACCGCTGCGTCCAGCTCCTCGCTGGAGAAGTCGTATGAGCTGCCTGACGGACAGGTCATCACCATTGGCAACGAGCGTTTCCGCTGCCCCGAGGCGCTGTTCCAGCCCTCATTCCTGGGAATGGAGGCCTGTGGCATCCACGAGACCACATACAACTCCATCATGAAGTGCGATGTGGACATTCGTAAGGATCTGTACGCCAACACCGTGTTGTCTGGCGGCACCACCATGTACCCGGGCATCGCCGACCGCATGCAGAAGGAGATCACTGCCCTGGCTCCCTCCACCATGAAGATCAAGATTGTCGCTCCACCAGAGCGCAAGTACTCCGTCTGGATCGGTGGATCCATCCTGGCTTCGCTCTCCACATTCCAGCAAATGTGGATCTCCAAGCAGGAGTACGACGAGTCCGGCCCATCCATTGTTCACCGCAAGTGCTTCTAAATCGAAGCTGCGGCTGCAGCTGATGCTGGGCGTGGTCATGGTGGTGTCTTTGTCTGTGCTCAGCCATCACATGGTTGAATATTTGGCAGAGTACATTAACAACAATAGCAGGCGCACACAACACCAGCTCCTGCCAGATGAATGCATTCCAACTACTTTTTAGACGCAAACTTTTACATTCTTCATAAGCAATCCCCCCATTGTGTTCTATTCGAAATTCCAATGAATGTGAACATTCATTCATTTTTGGCATTTACTTTGCTTCCATGCATTTGTATTACAATTACACATACCATACCATTAAATACTTGTAACCGCTTAAAATCATTAATAAAGCGAGGAAAGAACTGAAGCATCCAAGCGATTCTCAATGTCTCAAAGTGTTCACATAATCGTATATGGCATGACTAAGGCCAGCCAGCGATCGCTGGAAATGAAGTTTTGCTGTGGGTATGCGGTCATTTGGCTGGTATGCCGTGGCGAGGGCGTCGACGGCGATAAAGCGCCTGCTAATAAGGCAAGTCAACCTCTTCTAATTTTAACCAAAGGCAAACGGCAGGGAAAACATCAGTTTGCAGGAAATCGTCTGATAACCAATCACTTGGCTAACTTGTGCCTCATTCCTCTTGTTTGCGATTGCTGCTGCTGCTCACACGCATGCGGGTGTGATTCAGCACGGTCTCCACTCCACCACACTTGGCTTCGGTCCGCTTATCAGGCCTGGCGTCGACCCCGCCCCAGAAGACTTAGCGGTATTTCCACGTTGATTGATTACAAATAGAGCATGTGAAAGCCAAAACAGTTGCGGCTAGTATTACCTTATAAGGAAGAAATAGAATAGGGGAGAATCACACTCGCACTCGCCATCGCACCCGCCATCGCAATCGCAATCGCAATTGCAGTCACAGTCGTATTGAACAACTGAAAATCGAAGCGAAAACACTATGGCTGTTGACTCACACTCAAATGTTTGGAGTCGTCATCAAGTGGCATTGTTTATTTGTAATCATTCAAGCACGGCGCGGCACGGCACTCCCCATCTCCCCCCCCCCCCCCGTCCCCATCTCCATCGGGAGTGCAGTACAATCGCGCGACATTTTAGGCGGGGCTCTCGGACAAGTCCAATTGTTTCATTCGTAATTTAGCTGCGATCTAGCCCAGAGACTTACAATGACCAAATTCAATAAACTATGGCAAGAAATCGATTAGGGGACGCACTGACTGACCTGACCGACTGGCTGATGATGCTCGTATATGGGGCCTACCGTAGATCAAAGCGAAGCTTTTTAAAAATATTTATTTTACTTTATTCATATATGTATATATGTATGTTTATCGTGAAATAAAAGCTTTGCGCATATACTTACAATCTAGTTTTGGATTGGAAAGATAAGATCGAATCGTTCGTTATACATGACTCTTACAATGAATGCTCTACATATATATATATGGTATTTCTTTACATATTCAATATGACATACGTTATGTTGGAAAGTGTAAGCAATCCACTTTTACGTTATTGGTTAAATAAATCGAGGAGTTCGCTGAACTCGGTATGTTTTGATTAAAGTTGCTTGTGTGGCTTCTGTAGAACATATACTGGTTTATTTATGCACCATACGTTCCTATATTTGTGCAGCACAGTACAGATTCAAAGACAGATTAGAGAGTATAATACAGACTACATAAGAACTCATACTAGGGTTAGAATACATTTGTAAAATCAGCCT